GCTTAATGTGTGAATATTGTAGGGAGGAAAGCTCCCTTCCTGGGCATATCCTAGCCACCGCTGCAAATCAGATGTAAGGTCTTCATACACTTATATTTTATGCACTTACTTGTATGGCAGGAAATGGGAGGTAGTTCAAATTGTGGATAAGATATCGGAGACTGTAACTATAACCCATAAAAGCTCCAAGGAGCAAAATGAAGAGATGATATTCATTCAGGCACGTGCGAAGGGTAGCATCAGCAGCACTATAGCAAAACAGCATTTTTAATTTACTGGTGCATGCAGTCACACAGAACTCTTTTTGTTTGTTTGTTTCACTTCAAAAATATAGCATCTGATTTTGAAAAAATGGGAAACACTCTTAAAAATAACATGGTTAGGAATCTTTCTAATTAATACTTGGAGCAATGGAAGCACTATTTTTTTCCAACGTCATCTTATAGACACTTGTGATAAATAGAAGGTGAGAAAAGAGTTGGATCAATAAGAATATGCCTATTTCTAACAAAAAAAAGCTTTGATTTGCCAGAGCAAAACAGTCGGCCTTGTTTGTACAAAATACACAAATAACTAAGTCATTAAGGCAAAAAACATGAAGTGCAAACCCAAAATCCCCTCTTTGCAGAGGGGAAAGATTATAAACATACCCACCAGCCTACTATGCCATCCACTATGGCTTGTCTGCTGCTTGCACACAAAGATCTGACCAGAGAAAATCCCTGGACAAGCCATATTGTGTAAACAGACCTATTATAAAATGTTTAATAATGCTATTTTTATTCATGTTATGTATAGATGGAAAGCTTCAGGATTATACCTTTCTGTAGTTGTAGCTGTGCAGGGCATGGACAAAAAGAGGAATTTCCCCTTGGTCATAACAGCAGCACACCAAGCCACCAGCACCCCCATCACAGCATGGGCAATTGAATGGATCACTTGCTGCGGGTGGATAATCTTGCTTATTAGGGCTAATCGGGAGCAGTGAATAGAAGGCACAACTGAAAAGTGAAGAAAACAACATTAACTGTCTCCTCCTTAAACCACTCCCTTAGGTTTCCCTCATATGGCACCATGTTCCAAAGTATGGCATTCCAGCCGCCACCATTTATTTTAATATTAGATAGCTTTTAATAGGAAAGGTAGACCTTTGAGCCATCCTGCTCATCAAAGCACCTTCAGAGAAGTTTTTCAATAATAAGGGCCAACTTCATGAGCCGAGGTGGCGCAGCAGTTAAAGTGCAGTACTGCAGGCCACTTTAGCTGACTGTGTTCAGCAGGTCAGCGGTTCAAATCTCACTGGCTCAAGGTTGACTCAGCCTTCCATCCTTCCGGGGTAGGTAAAATGAGGACCCAGATTGTTGGGGGCAATGTATATATATATATACTTTGCTTACTGGTGTACACCGCTTAGAGAGTGCTTGCACTTAAAGCGGTATATAAGTCTCATAAATAAATAAATAAATAAATAAATTCTTAGATGCTGGTGACTCAAGGAACAATTAGGAGAATAACTCAATCTCTCTTTGGATTACAGAATAAAAGAGATGGCAAAATGACTCATAAAAGTAAGGAGATGTTTAAGACGCTAATCGGGTCAGGCTGCGCCTCTTATACGATATGGCTTTCAGTACCCACCTGTGTGAAACTGAACATTGAAGACATTTATTACCAGTATCACCACAGACAGCAGTAGTATGCAAAAGATCACATAGGACGTATATAAATCATTGAAAGAATCTGGAACAGAAAAAGTAAATTCTTTTTGAGAAAGGACTATAGAGAAGCTATACCTGGAATAACAGTTTAGGGCCTATAAGTCTGAACAATGCCCTAAAGCAGGGGTAGACAACTTTGGCTCTTTTATGACTCGTGGACTTCAACTCCTAGAATGGCTCAGGAATTCTGGGAGTTGAAGTCCACGAGTCACAAAAGAGCCAAGGTTGCCTACCCCTGCCCTAAAGATATTACCTAGTTCAGTGTTTCTCAACCTTGACAATTTTAAGGCATGTGGACTTCAACTCCCAGAATTCCACAGCCAGCATTGCTGGCTGTGGAATTCTGGGAGTTGAGGTCCACATGCCTTAAAATTGTCAAGGTTGAGAAACACTGACCTAGTTGGATAATGAAATGTCTATAAGAAAACAACCAAGCTCAGAGAGCACAAGAGACTCCACGGTCTCTAGTTCTCATCTCAGTGTCCATGGCTGCATGTACAATGCATGCATGCAGGAGAAAATTTTAGCTGCCTTTCCCCGAATCTTAGTTTTATCTAATTTTAGTAAAAGCTAAGAGCTGACAAAAGGCAACTAAATTATTCTGGCAGTTTTTCTAAGTTGGCAAGATTTTGTCAGATGGCTTTTTCTTTTTTTTTATTAACCAGAGGTTATCGTAAACCATGATCAGAGATATGACAATCACTCTGAAACGCTGCCTAAGAGTTATCAACATAATAAGTACAAAGCAACATAATTAAAATACAACACAGTACTATGCAGCAGCATTATTCTATAGCATGGTTATCCAACCTTGAATACATTTTGTACATACTTGTGATCCACTGAACAGGATGGAAGAGATCAATACTGCTAATGATGATGAACACTGCCACACACAAAGGAAGCAACAGCACAGACCAAGCAATGCTTGCTGTTGCTCTCCATCTTAAGATCTAGGGGGAAAAAATTGCACTTTGTTTCCATAAATCAACACACAAATTACTAAGTAACTTTAGATCAAACATTTACAATTCTGATTGAAGGGGCAGGTGAGAAAAGATAAACGTGACTTTTAAAAATAAAAATGTCAGCCACATTTGGTCACACATACTCAGTTTTATATAAAACATGTCACATAAATCCAAACTTTGAGTCAAACTGAAAAAACAATGGAATAACTTAAACAGTTTTTAGCCTGAGGTTGTTACAGGTTAACTCACTTGAACTCTGGGTGCCCATGTCACCAGAACAAGGGGAGTTAATCTGGAATTAACCCAATCCCATTCCTTTAGAATCCAGGAATGGGAACAAAATAGGGCAATTTCAGCGTCATCATTTCTTTAGTTTTTTTTTTTAAAACTCATCTACAAACTTCCATTCTTTCTCATGCCATGGGCTGGATGATCTAAACCAGGGGTAGGCAACCTTGGCTCTTTTATGACTCGTGGACTTCAACTTCCAGAACTCCTGAGAGTTAAAGTCCACGAGTCATAAAAGAGCCAAAGTTGCCTACCCCTGACCTAGACCCTTTCAGGCTTCCACAGATTTTATTTTAATCTTTTGTATTTCAATAGCAATAAAAGAAGAAGCATGATTTGGCCAAATAGTGCAAGTTGACTTGGGTATTGGCCAAGATGGTTGCTCCCTAACAAACAAGGGCGACCCTCAGTTTACTCCATCTTCTCAGACCTTTCTGTCATATCAAACTAAATGCAGTATGGTGCAGTAACACATCCCTAAAAAACGTAAGTGGCAAATTCACTAAAATCACCCAGAGGTTGTGAGAAAGAGGGAAATTTGGAAGACAGTGATCTCAGAGTCTGTCTAGCCAGAACTGAAGCATGCAGAGAAAAGAATTATGAAAAAATTCTGGCTCTGATTCTAAAGCTCCATTCACACAGCTGAACATTTACATTTCATGTTCCAATAAGCTTCCAGTCTTGCTAGCACATGGGATTGGTATCCAAGTAGTTTGCAAAGGCATGTACAGTTGTCAATCCACAAAAGATCTGTATTTGCCCACCACAGGAAAAACAGGCCCAATAGATCTGAAACAGGTTTACATACATGGACAGCATTTTGTTTAAAAGCACAATCTACTGTAATGAAAAAGATGGGAAAACAGGGCTCAGTCCATCACTTTTATTGAGATTGGTTATATTTAACTCTTTCTCTTCCTGACCTGCTAGCCTGATCATTAATGCCCTTCATATGTGTGTCATTTATTTTGGACAGATAAATGTGTAAGCAGGGATTATTTTGGAGGATATTTTTAATAATCTTATTAGAGATGCTCTGGAGCTTTTTCAGTTGCTAATTGAATAATTATTGCATACTGATACAAAGTATGCAAACGTGGTATTGACCTTACTAAGGTTTAATGGGATAAAAATATAATTAAATATGCCATATTCCTTAGCCTTCAGATTCCCAACTTCCTGTGTTTCAGATGTGTTAGTATTCCCATGATTCTCAACCAACTTGGCCAACTATTGGTTAGGACTTCTGGAAGTTGTGATTCCAAAACATCTGGATGGCACCAGATTGGGAAAGGCTACAAGTTATTTTCCTTTTAAAGTTATGAAGAGCAGAATCACCATTTCCCATGCTCAATTCCCCCAAAGGAGAAATCTTCCTGCACCAGCAGTTCAGCAAAAAATTTTTAAAAAAGCTTCAGTACCTAACATTCTGACTGGTTTTATACATAAGCTTAGTGATAAAGCTATGATTTTAATTGTTGAATGAAAGACAATGCTGGCTTCACAGAAAAATCCAAAGCCATATTTTGTAAATCACAATCACTGGATTTATACATGTTTACGTGCAAAGAAACTCCCTCTCATTGAAAGCAAAGGATCTGCCAGTGGCAATTTCAGGATTTTTCATTGGGGGGGGGGACTATCCAGCTTAATGGAAAATTAAAATTAAAAAAGCGTGGCATCTTTATATTTTCACCATCTATGTTGAGTAACTGCAGGCGCGTGTTGACATGAGTGCCCCAAATGCATACAATAATTGCCGATTCTCAATCGAGAAAACAAGTGTCCTTTACACACTTTTGTACAACCAATCATTCATCGCAGTAACGAATATGTTGATAACCGGTGGCACACTTAGTCTTTATGCGCGTTTGATACGAGAGTGAAATTATACATACACTCAGTTGTTCCCGCGTTGAAACATCTCCCATGGTGCAAAAAAAGGGCAGTGAACGGTACCGGATGTACTCCCAGCAACCTCTGCTCTCCTGCCAGTCGTAGGGTAATAGCTTCAGTGACGTTTTTTAAACCCGCCCATCGTAACGCCGTTCGAGGTAGGGGAAAAAAAACTATCAGCAAAAGCAAAAACAGACAGTTAAGGGCCCCGTTTCGTCTTCAGTTTGGGGTCTTTTATCTTTTTTTTAGTAAAACTCGTTTTTTTGGCTCGGCGTGATCGAATGTCTAATCTACGAATCCCTTTCCGAAAATTTCCAAAAGTGGAGAACGGGACGAGAAGTAGTGAGAAAAGAAAGCAAAGCCGAGACCATATCACAGTAGTGGGGAAAAAAGTCTTTAAGCCGGAATCTGGTCAAAGCAGCTAAAAAGTGAGTGGAAAAAAAAATGAAATGCACATTTTTAAAAAATTGGACCAATAATCTCTATATAGAATTCCTGACTTTTTCACTTTCGAAGTCGGACGTTTAAAACATTGACTGTACACCTTTTGTCTCTTATGGGAGAATGCAGAAGATATTTGCATCTTTCACTAATTAATGTTTATTGGAAGATCTTAGAAAGGTTGCAATATCTGAATATTGCTGCAGCTCAGGTTTACTACAGAGGAGCCACTACAGTTAAATGGGTTTTGCTTCCTAGCCGGAGCTCACAGGCTTATAAGTAAAGGAAATGAAATCTCCAAGATTCTCTCTTGGTCACTTCTCAGTTATATTCATGCAGAGTGTTTAGACAAGTTATTTGCTATCACCTTTTTCCAAGATGCTTTTCGACTTCCCAGTTTAGCTCAGTATTTCTCAATCTCAGCAACTTTTAAGATATTTGGATTTCGGCTCTAAGAATTCTCCTGCCAGCAAGTCCAAATAGCTTTAAAGTTCTTGTAGTTGAGGAACACGGGTCTTAACTGACGGCTCTGGGATTGCTGAGTGGTCTCCTATCCAAATTCTACTCAAATCCAACTCTGCTGTCACCGTCATAGCCTATTCAGGAAATGGATTTTCTGTTTGTTTTTTCCCCGTGACTCTGCTATCTGAAAGGTTAACATAGCCACTATAGCTTAAACTGCCATGGCTTTAAGCTTTATGCTCCGGAAAAGCTTTATCATTTAAATTCGCCTTTTCCGTGATGCTCTCCGTGCACAGCAACTGTTCCTGTAGACTAGAACATCACTTGAGCACATCTTAAAAATAGCAAGCTAAGAAAAAAAATGCATTTGCATTTCATTGCTGCTGTCTCTTTAAAGGGAGGAGGGGGAGGAGGAGAAGAGCAACGTCGATTGGTCAAGATGCTACAAGCGATGTCTGTCTCTTTAAGAGCGAGAGACTGCAAAGGGGGAAGGGTTTACTTAGTGCCTGCTGTTTCCGGCAATACAGGTTGGTTCTCGGCGCCTTCCATCGTTTGTATTGCCCCGAGGAGGTAGCGACGGCGCCGCCTGGTGGTGTGGTTGGGTAGGACTCTGGTTGCGGCCTGTCTTTAGGGAGAGGGATAAAATCCGTGTTTGGCTGGCAAAACCCATCTCCCCCACCCCAACTCCCACGAGATGTCAAATGTGAATGTCAACATATGAGCCTTGTAAACTCTGCTCAAGAAACTGAGGGTGGTTGAATCAAACCCCTTTTCCCGACATCAGAGTGATTTATTATTATCTGCTTTTCTTTAATCGATCTTAACTATTTAGTAGCAGATTTCCATAACTGTTGGTCTGCAACTTTATTTCTTCCTAATTGTAAGTTTGCAGTCATGGGCAAAGGGAGGATGGAGGTTACCTGTGCTTAAACGTGGCCAGATGATAAATTTCTTTTGACGGTACTGTACTCTTTGGAGGAAAGCAGTATTGGGTGTGCTTGAAAAAAAAGAAACCCAGATACAGATTTCTGTGTAATTTTGTTTTAAAAAAATACATCCTGCAGAAAAAACTATTACATTTCACAGTGCTGTTGCAAAATCCCTTATGACATTATTATTACATTTTCTAGTATAATGTGGTATATGGAAATTATAAACTGAATTCTTTTACTTGGAAAAGTAAATGCTTTTGCTTCATATTTTTCATAGAATGACCAGAATATACAAGTGAAAGTCGAAAGAAATCTATTGAGCTTCAAATATAGTTAATATGAGATATTTTTCCCAACATCTGCTAGATGCATCTGTGCTAAATGCATAGATTTTTATTAGCCGGATACAATTATAAGGAGTTTGTTGTGAGAAGGAAGGGAAAAAGCAAGTTTCTCACAATTTCTCACTCGCGCCAGCCAGAGTGTTCTTTTCCTTGCATTAAAGTTGGGTTTTTTTAATTCACCAATTTTTAATCCGCCCTTTCACTGAAGCTTAAGGCAGTAAACATAGCAGTCCTTCATCCTATTTTCCTCCCAAGTCAAGAGAGGGGCTAGTGCAAAGTCACTCAGTGAGTTTCCAGTATTGGTGGTAGGAAGTTAAACTGCATTCACACACATATTCCTTACCGAGGCAACTCATAATTGGATCTCATGTAAACAGTGGATTATGACTTCTCTGTACAATTTGACAGTCAGACTTTTTTTCTAAATTGAGATATATAGATGTATTTTTCTCAAATCAAATTGGCTGAATTAATGATATTAATAGAAGATGACATGGAAGAGATAATTTCCTTCGTAAAGTACGGCCTGCTTGGTTTGGAATTATTTACATTTTTTCCCTATTGTATGCAGGCATTTCTTTCCAGTAGTTTAATGTATCCTCTCATTAGGAGCAAATTTGTATTCTGGATGAAATGAACTGATCTGGAGAATCTGCTGTATGATGTTGAATAGCTGCAAGAGCTCTGGAAATCAGTTTTAACAATGAAGAATAGAATTACGGTTTTCAGTCTAAGACAGCATTTGTTCTCTTGATATTTTTTAGGATTTTGCTCAATTCCTATTAACAAACTAAGAATATACACTGCATGAATGGCAGCTGTGGATGACTTCAAGTTCCAAGGTACATTTCAAAAAGGGCCTACCAAAAACCCTTAGATTGTTTTGTGTCATTGCTTTGCAAATTTAATCTGTCTCATTTATAGTGCATGATGCTGCCACTTATTTTTTTTAACAAGCAGTGTTATCATTGTGGAACTGAATACAATTATACTTTCCTAATGGGAATTATCTCAAAGTGTTATTGTTTTTAATCCACCAAGGAATTCAAATGACATACCTATTTCATTCTTTTTATCTTCTCCACAAAATATTCTGCTTAAACCTAATATCAGCTTCTCCTTCAGCATTTAATTGTTCCTTGACCAAAACAGGAGATGCCTTTGGTTTTATTTGTTATAGTTATATAATAAGATTAACTCAAGTAACTGAAAAGGTTTGTAATAGGCCAGAAATCTTCCTGATGTTAGGTGAGTAATGTTTGTTAGTTGAACTGCTACTTGTTACAAATCTTCCTGTTGGGTTTCTGCTCTGTGGTGTTTCTTTTTATATTCAATTTCAGAATATGGTATAATGAAAAACAGCATTTTTAATAAGTAACAATTCTGGTCTCAGTTCTAGGGCATGGATCCAAAGCTTTGGTTAACTGAGTAAACAAATGACTTGGTAATTTGACAATATATTTACTTTAGAACATGATGCAAGAGTTAATACCATATAACTTGTATGCCTTGAGAGGAAATGCTAAGAAAAATAAAGTCTTTGCAGGGAATGTTTGTTTTTCAGAATTTGACGACGCAGCCAACTTGTTGGCAGCCAGTCCAGATGCCGTCACTATTAGTATTGATGAACCTACTGAAAAAACAAAGAAAAAACATGGACGTCTCCAAGAATCTGGAAGAGAAGAAGACGATGAACTGCTGGGGACAGATGATTCTGATAAAACTGAGGTTTTAATGAAAACATACTGATTCTATCCAACAAACTGCTGTTTTTCCTCTTATTGTTAATGAACACTGTATATATTGTGTATAAAAAGTAGAAATTATTAAGGACAACTCTTTGCAGGAAAGAGACACACTGGAGTAGCCTTGAGATGATTCATATACTATAAATTTAGATTGCAGCTAGAGAGTTGAATAGCTTCTCACCCACTTGTACATCTAGAAACCATCTAATGCGATAAGGGATTTCTCCCCTTAATGTAGTGTATTTCCTTAAATCATCCATTAGCACAGTGCTGATATACAAAAGTACTGTTGCCATTGTTACAATCTTGGTTTGAATTTCACCTGTGCGTACACAGATTATGATTGATTAACTTTTGGATATTCTGCATGACTGTTTTCAATTCTAATAGCAATACAGACTGGATATTAATCTCCACTCATTTCATCATTCCTAGTCATACATACAGACACACAAACACATACATACATACATACATACATACATACATACATACATACATACATATATTATTTTAGTTCACCAGAGTATGGTCTGAATTATTTGACCAATATTTGTCTCTCTTTGTGACAAGAGACTTGGCAAAAAATAAATTCATGTGCTTTCAATGAGATGAGTTGCAGAATTAACACAATGTAAATAAGCCTAACATAGAATATATGGTGCAGATTTTCCTGAAAGTTCTGCTTTCCAATTTTCCCCGGAGAGGTTCCTGTTTCTAACATAAGTGAAATTATTTGTATGTTCAAATAATACATTTGAATAAGAAATAAACCTGTACTTTCTTCTTAAAATCCTATATTCCAGTTGCTTGCTGGGCAGAAGAAAAGTGCTCCATTCTGGACATTTGACTATTATCAGACATTTTTTGATGTGGACACGTACCAGGTTTGTCATTGCCACATATGCATATGGTGTACCATTTGCATAATATGTTTATTTTAATGAAATGGTTTTCTTTTTTTTTTTGCTTCTGCGAGACAATCCTGCATAGCAGATCCTGCTCTGTATTTATTTTGCTACTTCCTTGTCCATATGTGTCCTAACAAAAAGGTATACATGACCATTCTTTTTGAAAACTTTCCAAATATATATTGAATTTTCATCCCTTTTTCACCATGACCCTTGACTTCTGTTACTAGAACTTACAGATCCTTTGAATTCTGGGTACTATCCTCAACAGCTCAAGATGTTTTTTCTACCAGTTTTAAATTATGCCCATCCTTTTTCAATCCAGCTTTTATGGACAGTTTATAGGTTGAATAAATAAGGCAATATTATGCAGTCTTTGCCGCATTCCTTTGCCAGTATGTTTTGCCTTGTTCTGTCCTTACTGTGGCTTCCCGACCTGCATATAGGTTTATCATGAGGACAGTGAAATGTTCTGAGATTCCCATTTTTCTAAGCATGTTCCACACTGTCATGTGAATGATGCAACTGAATATACATTTCTGTAATCTACGAAAGACATACTGATTTCTTTTTGGTGTTCTTTGGCTTTCTCTTATCCAGTGGGTATATAATGTTTCATGGGTTTTTTTTGTCCTTTTTAAAAATCATCTTGAACACTTGGCATTTCTTTCTCAATGCAGTGCTCCAGTCCACATTGTATGATCCTATTACTTTGCTAGCATGTGAAATTAAGGATGTTGTGCAATAGTTCTATTAAGTTTAGTATTGGAATGTAGATTGACCTCTTCCAATCTGTTGGCCACTTCACAGATTGTAGTTCTTTAGCATGGTTTTCCAGATTTGGTGCCATTGCTCAGTTAGAACTTTGACTGATTCTTCTCCTGTTGGTTGCCGTATTTCTGTGTTTATTCTGTGACTTCCTGTAGCTTTCTGACTTGGTAATGATTGGAGTGCTGATTTAACTTCTTCTAGTACTAGATGTTCTTGCGAGAGGGAGATATTTCCTAAGGAATCTTGGATATTGATATTTCTACTATACAGTAGTTCAGTATACTCCTTCCATCTTGTTTGATCTTTGAATCAGTTACTAGTTGTCCATTGGTATACCTTAGCACAGTGGTGGCGAACCTATGGCACGGGTGCCAGAGGCGGAACTCAGAGCCCTCTCTGTGGGCACGCGCGCCGTCGCCCCAGTCCTAGGCCTTTAGCTGGGTTTTATAAAACCTTTTTGCTTTAGGCCTCTGCCGCCATGTGCAAAAAAAAAAAAGGTCCAATCAATCAGTCAATTTCAATTTCTTTCAGGAAAAAAAAGATCTTGCAAAGTTGGAATTGATTGATTGAACTTTTTAGTCCCACCCAGTCTGCCGTTACCATCGCAGCCATGCCCACCCAATGGGCCACACCCACCCAATTGGCCACACCCACCCAATGGGCCATACCCACCCAGCACCTGACGATGCATAAGAGGGTTTTGGGTTGCAGTTTGGGCACTCGGTCTTTAAAAAGTTCGCCATCACTGCCTTAGCATGCATATAGTGTTGATGTAACAAACTCTTATTTGCTGCTCAGAAGAAAAGCCCTTTATTGTTTTATCTCACTTACAGTCATCACCACACTGTCCTATTTTTTTAAAAAAGTGTTGTTGTTGTTTTTTTCAGAATTCAAAGTGACCAGGCTTACACCTAACATTAAACTACAATGGCTGATTCATTAAATGCTCAAAGAAAGCACACATCAATTTATGATTCAGCTTATTTGCAAACTAAGCCTATGATTAAGAGAACTAACGGGGCTTTTTAAAAAAAATTAAAAGGAAAATGGCTGGATTTAATTATCCAAATCATAATGTAATTTGTTTGCTTTTGGTTTCTTGATGTATGAATGCAAGCAGTGTGGTGCATATTGTTTGTTTCTGACTGAATAAACCATACTTAATTTGCCCAAGATCCTGATTTCCAATGGGGCGATGTATAGATGCTTTTGTTAAATCCAAAATGTGTTCAGTATTTCTTTAATTTAAACAGTTTATTTATCTTCAGCCATATGATCTATATTGCTTTAATTATTATCAGGTTTTGGACAGAATCAAAGGTTCTGTATTTCCAGTGCCAGGGAAAAACTTTGTGAGACTGTACATTCGGAGTAATCCTGATCTTTATGGTATGTGCAAACATTATAATTTTGAATAAAGGGGTCTTCTCCTGCTTTTGCGCTGAATACAAATACGTCAATCAAACTAAAATGGGAATTTGCTTTTCTCTCAATCAAGGTCCATTTTGGATATGTGCCACGCTAGTCTTTGCTGTTGCAATTAGCGGCAACCTTTCAAAATTCTTCATACATCTGGGTAAACGTGATTTTCATTACGTGCCAGATTTCCGCAAAGGTTCGTAAAATTATTTCAAACAGTTTCGTATCTGTTCAGTTTTTATTCAGTGGAGGGGACTACGGTGCGGGGATGGCGGCGAACCAGTTTGAGGAAGGTGGCAGATTTCTTTGTAGTCAGAATGTTGCAAGGCAGGCAAGGAACTTCCCTGATACTCAGGGAAGGCAGGAGGAAGGAATGCCCTCTCAGAGCTAGGAAGACAACATGATGCCAAGCTCACCAACATGAATAATCCCTGGTCAAAGGGATGCACTTGCTTGGCTGCTTCTGCTAACAGTGCCAAGACATATTCTCAATCAGCCTGGAGCAGCTGGTTCCTGGATCCATCCCAGAGGAGAAAAGATCAGCTGTGCCTTTGTCCACCTTATAAGACACAGCCGTAACCAGAATGGGTGGGATCAGTACTTGTGAGCAGAGCAGCAAGATGATAAGTTACTCCTCACATAAACTAAGAAGCAAATAACTTATCAAGTTGGATATTTAGCCCAGAATTATATTGCCATGGAGTCTAACTTTGTGTCTTGCTAAATTCTGTAATAAGCAGTTCTGTTCTGAATTGCTCGTTAGTCCTGGGGTTTCCATTTTAAAATGTAGCTTGGCACATTGACATGCAAGGAGAGAAAGATAAATGAGTAAGATGCGCACATCTTGAGGTCCCCAAAACTGCTCCCTATTCCTAATGGGCATACGAAGAGGCTGCCTCAGAATCCACACATTCCTTGGCAAATCAGTATATTATTTATTACTTACCGCATGCCCTACTTTCAAATCTGGTGAGTAGTGAAGGCGGCGAATAGGTGAAAAGCAAAGTTCTAAATATGTGAATATTACATTTTATGAGCCAGAGGCTTAGGGATGATTTCAGTCACCGATTTCAACACTTGAAACACCATCCCCAAGTGATGGGACAGAGAAATTGTCACTTTCCAAGTTTGGGCATATAGCATGAAGGTCCTCATTTAGATTAATAAGTTCTGGTTCTTGCATAGTTTACTCTGCAGCTCATGATGTAAATGCCTGTTAATTTTGAAGTGAACTGTAATCCTAAAATACATCTCTTTATAGTCTCCATAGCTGCGACAGCCATCTATGTTTATGCCTGGCTAGTTCCTCTCGCTCTCTGGGGATTCCTTATGTGGAGAAACAATAAAGTTGTGAACATTGTCTCCTACTCGTTTCTTGAAATAGTGTGTGTTTATGGCTATTCACTCTTCATTTATATACCAACAGCAGTAAGTATAGTACAATTAAATATTTTAGGAAGGACAGGTGACAATATGTGGCAAGCTAAATAGACCAATATCAGTTTTTGATATTCCACATGCAAAGCTTAACTGAGAGATCTGTATTATGTGATGTGGGACATACTTAATTGTTTGGTCCATTATTTCTTGATTAAATGGCAACTGGGAACCCTAGGGATTGTAGTCCCTACCTACCTATTGGGGCGGGCCTCAAGTTGGAAAAAAGTTTCAAAATGTCTGAAAGATGACAGAGACCATAGCCATTCTTCTCACAAATGTGTGTTGATAGGCTGCAATTGTTTGACTGCACAAAGATACAGCACTCCATGTGATTTCACAGGGTATCTTGTCATGTGATGAGGTGCAGATAGGATGAGACAAATGTGCTACTCCTGCATGGCAGGTTTCTCCCATCAGGTGATGGGGATGGTGTACCTTGATGGTTTTAGATAGGGATAGCAGATTAAAATGTTTTATTTTGCAGTCAGTAAAGCCAGGACTTTTATTTCTTTATTTTTCCTCTACAGATTTTATGGATCATTCCGCAAAATGTTCTCCGATGGGTTTTGGTGGCATTTGCTCTGTGTCTTTCAGGATCTGTTCTAGTCATGACATTTTGGCCTGCCGTTAGAGATGACAACCGGAGAATCGCAATGGCTACAATTGTGACAGTTGTCCTTCTTCATGCCTTACTGGCTGTTGGTTGTTTGGTATGACAACTCTCAATTTGTCAAGTATTCCTTTCAGTTATTCGGTTTTTATTTTTCAGTATTGATTTTATTTAGATTTAATTAACTGTTGTAGAATTAGACAGTGACATGCCTAATTAACCCATTCAGAATATTTGCAAGCTACTTACAGTATACATTGTATATTCGTGTGTATCCATATGCAGGTAAGTGTACCATACTACTTAAATAGCTCTAGAAACTTGTTGGAGGGAACCCAGAAAGCCGATTGGAGAGAGAATTAATAGATTTTTCAATTACAAAGTAATTTTTAGCTTATTTCCTTTGTCATCTTTAGTACTATACTTTTCAGCTAGATCTACTATAAATAGTATTTTGGTGGTGTTTTCCCATATCTGACACTCTGCATCTTCTGTCTTGGTCATCTTTGAATATTTTTGTTATTTCTATGTTGACTGTTCCCTGCCCATGTATATTACAAATAGTCTTTGATTCACAAAAGTAATTGAGCATGGAATTAAACTCGTAAGTTACACCAGTCATGAAGCAGGTCATTACGTAACTATACTCAATTTTACAACCTTTTTTTGTGATAGTCATTAAATGAATGCTGTGGTTGCTAAGCAAATCCATTGTCCACAATGGATATTTTGGCCAAGCACCAGAAGTCCATGGAAAATACATAAATCGTGATCACTTGTCTATGGGAGCTTCCATAAAGGTGGGCCTGTTGCCGAATGCCCAAAATGTGATCATGTGATCATGGGATGATGGCCAACCATCACAACTTCAAATCTGGATTGCCAGTATCTTTTTTGGGGGGGGGGGGAATGTCATAACTTTGAATGGTTGCTAAGCAATGGTCATACATTGAGGACTAGCTATAAAAATATATTGGATTGTGATATTCATGATATTCTGATATCTCCCTCTTGCTCCCCATTAATGTAGGCATACTTTTTCGATGCCCCTGAACTGGAAGTCTTTTCATTGACTACAGCGCTTCCACCTAATGGAACAACAGAAGTAACAAAGGCTCAGTAAACAAGGTAAAATGATACCTTCTTAGAAAAATGTTTCAGTGTAACTTGACTTGCTGCAACTGGTATCAATTCAAGCAGGAGAACATACAGTTAAATGTGCTTTGGTTTTTAGCTGGTTATTTCAAGCACATTTTTCCTGGCTGCTGCAGAAGGGGTTTGTTGCGCAACAGCTCAGGAGCATTTTACCCAAAGCAATGATTGGGGGAGATAGTGACATGCCAGCAGAGTCATGTTAGGCACTTTCCAAATTTTTGACATACTGTGTCTAAAATGTTCACCTTCACTGCTCTAACTGTTACTCTAGCAAGCCATTCTATACTTTGTTGTAGAGAAATAAGGAGGTACAGCAGTATACTGAATATCCCTATGTCTGCTTAAGGCCTGAACTTTCAACTCAATTAAAAACTGGCCCAGTAAATAAAAGTTTAGTCATAAAATTCCAGTCTGTCTTCAATGTGTTTCAATCTCTGTGTGACCGCGCTGGAACTGATCATCAAGTATTTAGGGACAAGTTTCTACCAATATGCAGATAATATCCAACATTTTTCTTCTTTTGAGACAAGAGCGTATGTGCTAGATCAGTCTGTAAGCAATCATGTATTGAATGATGACAAGCAATTTAAATTTGACAAGATAAGAGGTCCTACTGAGTGGGTGGTTCTCATGCTCTGAAAGAGGATAGGAAGCTTATTTTGAAGGAGATGTACATGCTTGATTCAATTTTGTCACTGGAGGCCTGGCACTATGAAGTCTGCCCAGCATTGGCCAAATACACTGATTATGGTTGAGCCTAGATTGATACTGCCTATCCTTATTTATTGATCCACTTGCAATCTTTTATTTGGATCAATGCAACACATTTTATATGGAGGAAGCAGTGGATAACAATCTAGAAATACATTTGTTACATATTATACCTAATAGCAGCAGTAGAGTTGAAAGAACTACAGTGGTTGCCAACTTGATTCTGAGCCAAATTCATGATGCTATTAAGATTGATCTCAAGGCTCTTAGTGGCTTGATGTTGCTTATTTGAAGTACTGTGTTAGCCTTCTTAGGGTTTTTTTTTTTGATTTAGGAATTGGGAAAACATCCCCTTTTGTTCCACTGTTGGGAGAAATATTGACTGGTCTCTGATTATGAACTACTTTCCTACAAATCTATATGTGTGGCACCAGGTTTTGGTAGTGATCTAAGATATTGGCTAATAGATAGTGTAATCAATGTGGGTGGGTTCTATGGCTTTTTTATGTTTGTTCATTACAACTAACTTTAGAATTTCTGTTATTACATAGGAAATTTCTGTGAAGTTCTAAATCGGCTGAATTGGTTTGCTTGAGAGTGATTTTGTTGCTGCACAAAGGGAAGCAACCCGAAATGAAACCTGGACCATGGGGAAATTTTGAGTGATATCTGATGTCTCTAGATACTGTTTGAATACAGGCACACTATCTATTAAAAACATATAATCTACGTTTCTGTAAAATGTCACAGAAGGACATGGAGAATGATTTTTAAACTTTCAAATTAAAATAATTACTGTTGAACATTTGTTGTCTTTAGGAACCATGTTTTTTTTTAAAAAAAAAACAACAACATAAAATCAGCTGTATTTAGTCTTTACAGTTTTATGGGGGATGGCTTCCTTCCTGTGCTATAATGACCTGCTGATGCTCATTGAGTAATGACATGACAGAAGGATTCTCCAGTGTGGGGGTTACTACAGATAATCCTTGACTTACAACCACAATTGAGCCCAAAATCTATGTTGTTAAATGAGACAGTTAAGTGAATTTTGCCCCATTTTACAATTTTTCTTGCCACAGTTGTTAAGTGAATCACTGCAGTTGTTAAGTTAGTAACCTGATTGTTAAGTAAATCTGCTTGACTTTGCTTGTCACAAAGGATGATCACATGACCCCAGGAGATTGCAACCGTCATAAGTATGAGCCTGTTGCCAAGCTTCTAAATATTGATCACATGGTTACAGAGATGCTGCAATGATTGTGTTAAAAACTGTCTAAAGTCACTTTTTTCAATGCCATTGTAACTTCAAACAGTCACTAAATCAACTGTTGTAAGTCAAGGACTATCTATATGTGAAATGATCTCTCATTGAAATTGGGCAGGTTCTCACTTCGTCAACAAAGACCTTTTCATCCTGGCACGTCTGCTATTTCTTCAACTTAGTTACACCAAGAATAGTTGAATTGCCTTGGCTTTCATTTTTTTGAATGAACTTATTTCACTGTATTTTATTGTTCTTTTCATTATTTTATTGTAAATCTAATGTGTTTTTAATAAAATGGAAAGCTCTGTATACATTTTTAAATACGTCTATAGTCTTTTCCACTAAAGGTCTACAATTTGGCAGGTTTTTTTCCTCTCAAGAGAGCAACTTGGCTTGTAGGTATCATTTGATATGATCAAGAGTTCCAGACACTTTCCATTAAGTATACTTCTATGTATAGATATAGTAAGAATATATAGAACTTTTAGATGACAATCCTATACTTGAAATGTTGGAAATCACTTCTATAAGTTTAGGCTTTTCTGCTGTCCCGTAATGTGCAGCATTTTCCAATCTCACCGTGCTGTCTAGGGATAAATAACTAGAAGGAAGATCATTAGACTTTCTGAAATGCATTTTACATTTGGTAAAACCAAAGAGTACAAGTTAATAACCTTCAAAGATACTTATAGAACATCAGTTTAAAACAGGTATATAATACAGCATTATTGTCTTTTTTGCCTGGAACTGATTCATTCGCTGCCAAATAGATTAATTAATGCCTACTCAAAAGTAAGGTAAAAGGTAAAGGGCTCCCTGTCCAACTCAAGGGCACAATGCTCATTTCCTGGCCGAGGGATCCAGCGTTGTCTGAAGACAATTTCCATGGTCATGTGGCTAACATGGCTATGTGCCAAGGGAGCACGTTACTCAGAAGTAACTTTGTTGAATTTAGAGGCATTACCTGTATGGATTTGTGCATTGGTTTGTTGCCTAACCTTTTCACCAAAGACTTATCTTTCTTCCCAGTCCTTATCTGAATACCATTATCTGGGTTTAAAGCACTACAGTAATAAAATCAGTGCAATTAAAAAAAAGTTTTTCTGCCCTTGAACTATAGCTGTCTCAGCCACTTTTTTAATATTGGTTACATCGTAGGTAAGAATTCAGAAGACTCTGCTTTGTGAACTTTGGGTGTAAAACTTGTTTTAAAATTTAGGTGTTGAACATTGAACATCATCAAAATTTTAAAAAAATTAATTTAAACATATGTATAATTATACTGTTACACTATTGGTCTGGGCAGCAAAAAAACTAATAATAGTGGTGATAGATGGATAGATAGAACAAAAGAAAGTTGGAATAAGAAAGAAAGTCATTTAGCTCCTTGCCTCAGGCAAAGTGTCTAAATCCAATATTATAATTACACCCATATTATTAAATTTACTCTGTAACAGTTTTTGTTAATCACTGAAAGCACTGTGGAAGAATATAGTTTTTACGTGTATGTCCAAAAGCCAGTAATATGGGAGCAAACCTAATTCTGCAAGACCAAATTCTTCATAACAAATCTTGCGTAATTTCAGCTTTCTGCCAAAATCTGAAGAGTACTATATATGTGCAGAGAGTTACTACTCTGATATTTCCAAGTGCTGATGGATTTAAAAAAGGATCCTTTTTTCGAATGTACATGTCAGAGTACTTGGCTAACTCATGAAGCAAAATACCTTTTTATCAAAAGTGATTACTTTGAGAAATAATAAATAACAGCTGATAATGCCATCCCTTTAAAACCATGGTTGACAAGGACATTTTAAGGCATAAGACCACAACAATCAATCTTTGAATATGAATCCTAGAAAAATCAGGACACATAAAAGGTTTTTTTGTAAATACAACTATGGAATTCCCTTCCTAGCTTTTCTGATTTCAAAAATAGGTTGGCCTAACTTATGAAAGTCAGGGGGGGGGTCAATGTATGATAGCTTTCATGCCAGTGTGACAACTTTTTAAAGCCATCTGCGGGAAACTAGTGGTGTTCCTTGTGCAGTTGATTGGTCATTATGAAAACAGATTGCTGGATTATGTGGACTAGGGATCTAATTCAGAAAAAAAAACTTATTTTCTTAAATCCCAGTGCCACCAAATACTGCTTCCTTCTGGAGAATTAAAATCAAAATGAAACTGTTTGAAAATTATTCAAACTATCAACGATGGATTTACCTCTGATGTACTATTGTTATATAATATTCACCAAACTTGTGGAAATACAGTAGGGCTCAACAAGTTAACATTAGACACCCCTTTCTTTGATTTCCAGGAATAGGGGATTTTTTTAAAAAAAAATTTGAACAGCAAATTATTTTTTAGAGAGTGCATCCACATGTTTCCAATACTATTCAAGAAACCCTCATGTGAATTCAACTAAACCAAAGCCCAGCTGTTCTGTACCTGTATTTTGAAGTAAAAAGAAATGATTTAATTGGAAGAACTCTCCTCTACTTAAGGTTTACTGTATGTTATTGATTAGCCAGACTTTAAATGTGTGTACCGTACACATATATTAGTTTTACTGAAGATTTGTGAACTATTGTTTCAGAAGAGTACTAAACCCATTTTTTAAAACTAGCCCCCAAAATAACTGACATGCACTTAGGGTGGTATAGAATCTTTGCCAGACAACTGTCTATCCCAGCATCTGGCAGCTCAATTCCACAACCTGCTACTCTGTGAAATGGGGATACTGGATCTCAAACTGTACTCTGTAGATCATTCTGGTATGAATGAAGTAGATCCATCAGGTGGTTTGCCTCCCATATTCCTCTGCCAGATCTTTCTTGCTGCCTCAACTCCTGTCACTGTCAGGCAGCTGGCTAAACCCAAACTATTCAGTATCTTGGTACCATATCTCTGGATACATTGCCAGTCAGTTGGCCAAATCAGAATCACGGGTCTTTGTTATTGCACCACAAAAATTAATCATTGGCTGAAAACTGGTTCATTGAAAAATATAACAGATAATATAAGTAGCAACTAACATTCAGAAACAACAATAATGAAAAGAGTTCAAGCGTGTTTAACTACAGTGAGTCCACATGACTGTATAATAATAATAACAACTTTATTGTCACTTTGAATGTACACCAATCAGCATACATCAAAATGAAATTTTGTTGCATACAGCTCTCAAAGGGTCACCACCTCCGATATACACTCCTTGTTTGTGGCCAGCTCAAGTTTCAGATCGTCCATTTTAGTCTCTAGGGAGCGAACGATGGCAAACAGGACAGATGGAAATGGAGCTCTATGTGGATTAGCCCTCAAATTAGCTTGTATTCCTGCAGGACCATCTTGCCTCCTTTCCTTTTTCTGATCCTGACTGTTCCACCTTTTCCTTAAAGAGGCCTTGCTTCTTTTTGCCCCTGGAGCACGCTGCCACTGCCACCAACTCTTCCAAAAGCCTCTCTCTCTTCCTCTGGGCCTGCCGACAGCCTCATCCAGGTTCCTTCGCCTCGTAAGCCCTGGGACCTCACTTCCTCTGCCTCTTTTGGAAACAGCCCTGATTTGCAATAGAATCTGTCGCTGGGCCAGCAGTCAGATATTGCTGCTGGCAGAACAATTTCAAACAGCGCCAACGACTTTTAATGGTCTCACCAACAGTTCCGAAACAGCTAGAAACTCACCATGCCATCAAAGATTGTTGGTCATATGTTACCTTAGTTCCATCACCTTGCTCAAACACATCAAAACCTTCCTGATCGTGTGGCCCATATCCCTTAATATTCCTCCCAAAACTTTTCACCTTTGAGAGCCGATGCAGCCGCAGCCAATCCAGGTGCCGCCATCTTACTATCAAGTGAAACTGTGATCTCATACATTCAGTTCAAAAATAAAAAGTGCAAATTGGAGGGGTTTTTTTTAAAAAAAATCATATCATATCTTAACATGAAATTTTGCTGGACTGTCTTGTTTTCTGCTGGGAATTGCCAATGATCAATCAAGAGCACACTGATTGCATCCCACTGATTGCTGATCTAATTTTTACCGGCCAGAAACAGTTAAAGTACAATTTAAAATATTACCATCCTCTACTTTATATCAATTGATTTCACTGGCTATAACATGGATGTGTCTACCAGGAATCCTTCAGTGCTCTAATAGCATTCTCAAATAAAGGAATAGATCGGAAAGTAAAAGCCAATTGGAAACCAAAACTATTTGCTGCCAAGAATGGAGCTACATTACTCATCACAAAAGTGGGTAAATATACCATTACCCATAGCTAAAAAGCTTACAAAGCCAGTTGTCAAGTATCTGACAAATATAGGAAGAGCAGGCAGGATGAGCTATTGAGAAAATTCCCCCATTCTTCTCATACAAAATCCACAGTGGGGAACTGATATCCCTATCTCTGGAAGTATCCCAGAAGTAATATTTGGTGTGGTTACTATTTTGTGAAATATGATGTAGATTAGAAGAACTATACACTGTATGGATAAGCATTTTTCAAGGCACTTCCAGCAAGATACAAACTATACAGATTTATTTAAGAATTTTTTATTGTCGAATTTAGAGATATAATAATAATCTTAGAAAATTTGATAGGTTTGTTCAGAAACAAACTCTTATCTCTTGGTGGTTTATTGTCAGCATTCCTTCCGTTATTCGCAAGTTTTTGCACAATCTCTTATAGCACTGCTTTTCAAACTTGACAACTTCAGGATATGTGAATCCAATTTTCAGAATTCCCCAGTCAGCGTAACTACTAGCTTGTCTGGTTTAAAAAAAAAATTGCATAGCTGGGGAATTCTGGGAGTTGAAGTCCACACATCTTAAGGTTGTCCAGTTTGAAAAACACTTACAGCACTGATGGAACACCCAGTACCGGTATTTATAAATAAGGGAGGGCATTCCTACACTTGTGAAAAAGTCAGACCTGAACATGCAGGCAACACCCTGCATATTTCAAAAAGCAATTGACGCTCAAAAACAAAAATAGTGGACTGTTCATTGCTAAAACAAATTGTGGGAATTGCGAACATGATCAAAATAGGGGGCTTTGAGCATGTGTCTTTTCAGCAGGCTGTTTAAGGAACTGGGCAGTGAATACAAAATTCAGCTTTTTCATATGGAAGTAGAGAGCTACTTGTGAGAAAAAGTCCTCACAAGAGTTTTTGAGCATAGGGAGAGATCAAAATATTTCTTGATGAAAATGATAAGGCTGGTAAAGACATTTTGTGATTTCAAATAGCCTACTATACCTTAGCTATCCCAGCTGTACGAATAGCCTTAAACATCCCAATTTTTAACATGAAGCATATGATTTCAGCTTTTCTTCACAAGTCTGAATTTTGGTGCAAATGGGTTAACTAACAGAAAAATACCTTGATTATTTTCTCAATTTTTCAGTGGAAAAAATTAACTCAGCGTTACGAAGATCATTCCAAATACATTTCCATGATGTGATTAATGAACACTGTTAAGAACTGGACATAGTCAAAGAACTAATTAAAAATTATTTTGCTGCTGTTGCTCAGATTGGATCTTTCAGAACTCAAGTATCTGAATGAGATATGCTATGAAGGTGGTATCTGCAAGAAGTCACTTCCAATATTATCTAGAACTGTGCAACATAGATACCATGTTTGCTGCCATTCCTAATGACTAAAACTGCAAGTTTGGGTTTACAATTCTAGTGAAAGAATGAAGTAAGAAAAGGATGCAGAATCTGAACTATGTTGTGAGCTAATATCCTCTTGTCCTGGTTATTATTTTTGTAATAATGTTTTATACTAGTCTGATAATGTAAGAGCAGAAATAGCATCATCATATATTTTGAGCTCCGGCCTTCTAATCATCTTTGTTGCTCTTCCCTGCACTCTTTCTAGAGTCTCCGTATCTTTTTTATATTGCTGTGAACAAAGTTGGATGAAGTATTCCAGGCATGGTCTTGGATGTCTCTTCCAACCTAATCTATTATAAAAGAGTCTTACAATGATAAATAGAAAGTCCTAAATATCCCACATTTGTATTCCTTGAAGGTTAAGCAAGAGAAAAACAAAATAAACTTCTGAATACTTGATAGCAAGGCAAAATCTATTGAAATCAATGAGACTTGCTGCCCTAGATGGTTTTATATTTTGATTAAACCCTCTAGAGCAGTGATTCTCAACCTTTCTAATGCCGTGACCCCATAATACAGTTCCCCATGTTGTGGTGACCCCCAAGTGGGTGTGGCCACCAATAAGAGGGAGTAGGACAGCTAGGGAAAAGGGGAAAAAATGGCGGACAGCATGGTTTGGCGACCCCCGTGAAATGGTCATTTGACCCCAAATGGGGTCCCGACCCACAGGTTGAGAACCACTGTTCTAGAGGAGTAGGGTCATTAATTTTGCAAGGAAGAAATCTATAGTATTACAATTATTTCCTGGAAAGATTTCTCTGGATTTCAACTCCTAAGTAGATTATATAATCCTTGTTTTTGAACATGTTGGACCTTACAACATTATTTATTTTAACCAACATTCTGTTAAAGGCTTTGGATTTTCTTCAAGGTAAAGAACTGATAACTGTTACAATGTTGGTCATTTGAGGCAGCTAACGAGCCTAGCAATTATTAACTTTAGCTCAGGCTCTCCTTTCCCCCCCCCCTTTCACTTTGTTCCACATTAAATTCTACTTTGCAGAATACAGCAGTCTCTCCTTCTGCCAAGATGTTCAGAATGAAGAGATTTATGCAGAGATCCTGGATTCTTCTGCATGTGTGCCTGTCTACTATTATTGGTAAAATCTGTATGTTCTTCTTCCCAGGTACTGTGAAGAGATATCTCCTGAAGCAGAGAGAAAAGAGTAGCAACCCAAAATTCAGGTATGAAAATTGGGGTCCAACTTTCTTCAGCTTCCCATACTTACTCTTTGTCTTGAAAGTCAAATGGAAAAGACTGGAAGATGAAGCCTTTCAGGGCTATCCTGCTCCTAACACCCCTGTAGCAGATCTCAGTGGGAAAATTCATCGCATTCTGGATTTCATGCAGGGTAAGTAAACACCAGGGTGTTTTTGAGAAATATGGCATTTGCTAATAACATAAGTGAATTTCAAAATCAGGGCTCTACTGACTAAACAGAAAGACTTCATTCTTTTTTCTTGCAGGTGAAATTGACATAAAAGATGTCAACATAATTGGGGAAAGTGTTAAGATGGCACTAGAATTGTTGAATAGTTTAATTTTGACATATTAACAGGAAATAATTTAACTTTATATATCTATGATTGATGCAGGCAAAATGACTCTCATAAGTAACTTATGCTATTGCATACTGTACATAAAATTACATATTGCATACAAATATACAAGATTATGCATATGCATGTATTACTGGGTCAAAGGATACACACATTCAAATAAATGTGTTCAATCTATACCTCAGATTTTTTTTCTTAAAAACTGTAACAAATGCCTTCACAGAAAAGAAATAGAGCATGATAAAGCTTGAACTAATCAGATACATATCAGCACAAACACAACTGCACTTTGCCCTCTCTCTTAAAATATTCATAAGTTATTGATTTCTACTTCATAGTAACTAATTAACTGCACTGCTTTGGAAATTAACATAAAACCCAACTTGTATACAACCAGCATTGTACACTTATTTTGCATATTCCAATACTTGGCATAGGTAATTGAATCAAAATACTTTAGAGAAACAAAAATACATATGATAGGAAATCAATAAAGGGTGATGTGAAGAACAAGAGATAATTTTATAATTTTATGTTTTTGCTTCACTGTGATGTGAATCAAACTACTATGGTTTCTTCAATAAATCCTGGCTTAGTTTTATTGTGAACAGACTCATAGTTGTCATCACTTAGATCAAGAGAGATTATATAGATACTCAAATAAAAATCAAAACATTATAGTATACAATTCTACTGCAAATACAAACATAAGTTAAAAGACAAAAATAGCTAACCATATCATAAAATTCCTTCAAACAGAGGCAATATTGAAGAGATCATTTTAATTAGAGGATTTTTTTATTGGTGATGCCAATAAGGTTCTAAATCTTTGCTCTGCTTGCAATTATTGTTAGCTTCAGAAAATATGGAAAGGGGACATTTTAAAACAAAATACATGCTGCTGAATACACGCAACATTATTATACAACATGCAGATGCTGATTATGTAAAACAAAATATGTTGTTCTTTATCCCATGTTTATTGAGAATTAGAATTGTACCATCATAAAATATCCTGGCAAAATTATTCATGTGACATTAGCTGGGTCTTAATAATAAAAGTTTCGTGTTTTGGAATGAATACATGGAGGCTTCTAGACCAATGGTTTTCAACCTCAGTGCCTTTAAGATGTGTGGACTTTAACTCCCAGAATTCCCCAGCTAGTTCTGAGAACTTGTTCAAAATGGCACAAAAATAGAAGTCTACTGTTAAAGTATTTGGCCCTTTTAAATCTCTCAAATGTTATATTAATCAACCCCTAAATATTAGGTATCTCATATGGACAAGAATGTGACCAAATTCTTAAAATTACTGTATATGTAGCATTTTAACTGCAAATAACTCCTTAATAAATATGAGAACTATAACAATCCTTATTCTCATCTTTATCCTTCAAGACTGATCTGTGCTTCTTGCAGGTAACAGGCCTTTGGTTCTAACATTTGGAAGTTGTACCTGACCTTCATTCATATTCAAATTTGGCGAGTTTAATAAACTTGTTGAAGATTTCAAATCTGTAGCAGATTTTCTTGTAATCTATATTGAAGAAGCTCATGCCTCAGGTAAGGCAAGCGTGCTAAAAATCTATACTCACTTGATTGTAAATTATTGTATTCCAAGTTACCAATCTGGATGCATTTCTTCTTACATATAAACCATAGAGTTTAATGGAGCAGATTTAATATTATGTGACACAGAAAGCTAATTTAACTTGGAAAACAATTATAGTGCATCTAATGCTGTATATATAATCTCCAAAAACATCACCCCACATAATATTTGATTGTCTAGACTCTAGGTCAAATGTAATTTAAGAAAGATTGCTGTTGAGATCCAACAGCTAAGAGATAGCATCCTCACTGCTTTCTCTGACACCTAATAACATTTTATCTGCATGAATAGAACCAAACAATTAATAAAATTCATAATATCAAAGCCATGGTTTCCCTGTGTATTTATCAGCCAGCAGACTCTGGAAGATGCTAAGACAATTGTAGAGTCAACTTAGGTATAGACATGATAATAGCCCATAAGACTGAACAGGTTTCATGGTTTTGTACTTCTGGAAGAAAAAGGAAAATAGGAATAAAAGTGGAGTTGTTACAGTACAAAAACCAAGAAGTTCTGGGCTCTTACAGATCCCACTTCTACTATTAAATGTAAGCATGAATGTTGTTGTTGTTAGTTGCGAAGTCATGTCTGACCCATCACGACCCCATGGACAACGTTCCTCCAGGCCTTCCTGTCCTCTACCATCTTCTGGAGTCCATTTAAGCTCATGCCTACTGCTTCAGTGACCCCATCCAGCCACCTCATTCTCTGTCGTCCCCTTCTTTCTTTGCCATGAAAACCCCATGGACAGTACCAAAAGCATGAATATATCCAATCAATAGTCTAATTCTTATTAGAATTATTCTTTATTTTGGATGGATTAGATGAATTATTCTTTATTTTAGATGGATGGGCCTTTAAGAACAATATTGTCATTAAAAGTCACCGAACCCTCCAAGATCGTATAGCGGCTGCACAGATGCTCCTAAAACAGCATCCTTTATGTCCAGTGGTTCTAGACACAATGGAAAACCTGAGCAGTAACAAATATGCTGCTCTGCCTGAGAGACTGTATGTGCTTCAAAAGGGAAAAGTTGTGTATAAGGTAAAAAAGAAAAGCTATTACAATAAGGTTAGTTGTTTGCAAAGCTAAGCATGTACGTGAGACCCTGTGGGAGAGACAAGTTTAGTTTTGGGGAAACTGCTATCTAGAGCTTTTTTAAAAAACAGGTAAATTGTTTTAAATATGCATTATTATGCATATTTTCATAGAACATCTTATGTTTTGCTGTTTATTTTCCATGACTGAGAAAAATAGTGGCATCTAATTCAATGGGAAAATATAATCTTTTCTATTCAATTCTGAAATAATTGGTATCCTATCACTGCCACATGCTCATATTCTTACGCCATATGCTTTCATGAAAAGCCTAATCTTTTAATCTATTTATTTTATAATTATTCTTTTTATATTATTTTACATCCCTTGCCTATACTTTATATTCCCGTCCTTAGAAATTAGTCACGGTATTTATTTTTCCTTTTACAGGGTAGACCAGGACCATGGAAGTATTGCCCTCAAGAAGTTCGTGAATTTTTGGAACAATTTTACATGTAAAAAAACACCTCAACGCAACCTATTTGTGAGCAGCACGTACACTCCATTGCCTGATTGCATTTTTAAAAGTATTTTTATTTGTAAAAGTCTGTATTTATTTGGAAACATAATAGTGAAAATTTTATATCATTAATATTCAGCAGTCATGAACTCTCAATTAATCAATAACTTAAGATCTATTTAATATAGTTACCCTGGATTACCTGCCAATGCTTATCTCCATTCTTGTAATGGCCAGCGGTAGATGCACAAACCGCTTTACACATTTGAAAATACCTTTGTGGTGAATTTTTTAATGAAGCAAAGCATTCAACTGACATTGTCAAGATAATATGATGGATTGCTTATATACAACAGCCCCTAGATGGTCAAATAGAGCAACAATGTCTTCTTTAGTAACAGGAATGCAACAGTGTACATTTCCCAATTATATTTCTTCTATAAAAGCTGTATTTGCAACGGTTAGTCTGTGGATCTGAACAGAAGCAGTCTTTGTACATGTATAGAATCAAATTTCTGGAGAACATTGCTGCAGAACCAGCTGACATTTGTAACAGACAAACATGCATGATTGTTCTCATGAAACTCCTAGCATGTGCTGATGCATTGGATCCTTTGAAACCAAACCACTTAAGAACAGGACTTTTAAAGGTGTCTGCAGAGAAGAATTTTCTGAATGGAATAGTTGTAATAATTTTCTTATTTTTGTTTCTATTAATATTTGTTTATGATAGTCATAATTTAAAACATAGAAGATTATGACCTGATACGGAAAAATATTTATAGAAACAAGATGCAGTATTAAACTTGGTCCAAAAATCTTTGTCCAGCTTGAACTTGTTTTTTTATGAACTTATGATACCATAAAATGGTATCATTTTATGATATAGCATAAGATAAAATGATGGAGTGGAACCTGGTGGTCTAAAAGAAAGATTGTCCCAGACTAAATTAACTCTATTTCTTATCAATTAAGAAGCACAGAAGATATTGGGCAACATAACAGAAGGTTTGATGAAAGAAGATTCTTGTTTATTACTCCATTTCATCTACAGTATACATCTTCATATAAATATTATCATATTTAATATTTAAATAATGTTCATTGTTGAATTTTAACAAATTTACATTGAAAAGATTGAAGTACTTAAGAGTCATTAATGCCAGCTACATTTTTAAAAAGGTTTAATGTTTAATATGTTATTATCTGAATATTGAATTTAACTTTCTTGTGATAGTCCTTCCGCTATCATCCTATGAACTGACACAAAAGCATCAGAAGCAGATAAAATGATGATTCGAAGATATGTAGCTTGGATCTCAGGAAACTATCAAAGAAAAAAAATATTAACAACCATAAACTATAGGTATGATGTAATGAATAACAGCATTTTAAAATATTAATTCCCACAGGAAAGTTTCAGTGTACATGAATAAACATATTCAGTGCATTTAAACATTTGCTGTTAAGTGTTGAAAATGGTATATATGAAGTACTACATTACTGTGGCATTATAAAATATTATTATATTCTGATATCCCAGCCATGATTTGCTGGCAGATGTTTTGGATACTTTAAAAGCTTGTTAGGAACAGAATGTCCCTACATTATTACTATTTTGCTTGACGTTTATCTATAGAAAATGTTCAACCTTAGAGAATGAATAACTACATATCTTGAAGTTAAATATTTGTATGTAATTGCAACTACAGTTCCCTATTTACATGCAAATCTAAAATTACAATAACATCCAAAATGCTAAGATGTCAACATTCATGAATGCATCTTAACAGTCCTATACATAATACAGTGCAGAGCCTACAATATTTTAAAAAACATGTAACCCAACAGTTCCACTAGCACAGTGGAACTTGCTTCTCAGTAAATATACTTAGATGTGCATCATGTAAATAAGTAACTAATTAATGTGAGCAAGCTTTAAAAACATGTCTCAATATTCACTAGCATTAATTCAGTAATTTCAGATATATGGGACTGGCTGCCATTTGTATATTTTAGTTTTTCACTCAGATCATGCCATGATGATGATCATCATCATCATTATGATCATCATCATCGTGATCATCATTCATCAAGCTGAGCTCAGTTTCTGGTAACAATAGGAACACATAGTTTTATTTCCACCAATATGGAAGTGGTTTGCTATTCTCTTTGTTCATTTTTAAGTTACCTAATCAGCGTATGGTCCTAGTAGTTCTTGGAGTTCTCCCATCTAAGAAGTACCCAGTTTTAATCATGTTTAGGATTAGCCAGGATTGCTTAAGTGCTGCCAATTGTTAAGAGGCTTATATCATAGTGTAAACATAACAATATTTGTCAGATTTTTCTAAAACTCTTCTTCAGATTAATCTAATATTTTCAATCTTCTATTATTTTTGAAAAAAATGCAATCTTTTATATTGCGTTAATACTAAATGAAATATACTTACAGAAAAATCTTCTATTTGTAGTTCTCCATCTTTACACTGCAGTTCTGAAAATAAAAATTGTATAATTTAACTGTAGAAAATAATTGAAATATGAATATAAATGTAAAATATAAATCTTACATCTTTACTGGAACTAGTACTTAACCAGTTAAAAAAATCAAGTCAACTAATCGTACCTCTAACAAGATATCTATTTGATTTGTTGGCCATTTAAGTTGCTACTTTTGAATTCTTAGTATGTTTAGCCAATATCAACATTTTGCCTTTGCCCAGTCCCTACAGTGCATAGTTAGCGATCTTAGGGCATGTTCTAGTCCAATGAAAGTCTGAGATAAAACTACATATTTGACTTATTGAAACATATGAGCTACTGTTGTGGGGGGAAGATTATGGTATTCAGATAGATGGTCAGAGTTTATGTAAAAAGTAAATAACAGTGGTGCCAACATACAATCCTATCTATCTTCCCATACCAAGGTATTGCTTTAGTTGTGTAACTTTGTGAGGTAAATTAGATTTTTAGATAAGCTTTTTCATGAAGCTCAAGCAGCAATAATAATAGACATTTATCTTTGTGCAATTGATGACTTGATCTGATTTATTAGGCCCAGATATCGAGAAGAAGGCAAACTTAAAATCAACAGAAGCAGTATATAGGCAAATCCTGCTTTAATCATACACCTTTCTGCCAGATATTGTAAAATAAAGGCAAGATCAAAGGAACAGTGATTATGGCTAACATCAGCCTATTTCTCTGGACTTGTTCTACTTTCAGCCAATCCATTTTTTTTGTATTTAAATATTTGGCATAAATATTGCTAATAATGCTTAGTAGACTATTAGGGTGATAGCTAGTCCCATTCCCTCTTTTTTTTTTACTCTTGTACCTCTGTCTTTAGAAATCACTGTAAAGCAATCAGTGAAAAAGAAGGGGGTGACTAAAACTGGGATTCACCATTCTAAAATGTTACATATACATTTTGCCATTAAAAAATTATTACCTTGTGGGTTTCTTGGTTTAAGTTGGTTTACCCACTCTTTAATTTCTAAGCACATTAACTGGCAGCCAGTGAAGTTCAGCATTCATATTTTGATGTATGTATGTATCTCAGAATCATAGTCACATAGTTGTAGAGTTGGAAGGGGCCACAAGAATCATCTAGTCCAACTCTCCGCAATGTGCAAGAAAAGCAATTAAATCATTCATGAGAGAAGGCTATACAGCCTCCACTTAAAAACCTCAGAGGTAGAGATAGCCCTTATTGATATATTATTCTATTACAGTATGTGTCTGTCCGTCTATCCATCCATATATAACATATACACCTGAAGGCAGGGCAAGAAGCAATGGATGGAAACTAATCAAGAGAAGCAACCTAGAACTAAGGAGAAACTTCCTGACAGTTAGAACAATTAACCAGTGGAACAACCTGCCTCCAGAAGCAGTGAATGCTCCAACACTGGAAGTTTTTAAGAAGAGACTGGACAGCCATTTGTCCGAAATGGTATAGGGCTTCCTGCCTGAGCAGGAGGTTGGACTACATGACCTCCAAGGTCCTTTCCAACTTTATTATTATTATGAAATATATATATTTCATAGTGGTATATATCATAAAAAAGAGAAATAGAATTTAAAATATCATCTGCTGTTGCAGACATTCTTCCCCAAAAAAGTAGAGAAGAATTTGGGCCACTGACTTTTACCTATGGTCACCTGTCAAAGAAAAGGTCAGTTTCAATTCAGAGCATACCTGAAATTGATAATTGGATAATGCATTACAAAGAATCAATTGCTGTTTGGTAAGTACAACAACTTAACTTCTAAAAAATATTGAAATAGTCTTTGGTTCTGCAGATTACAATATCTCCTTTGAACTTTTAATTCTACACTATTAGTCTAACGTTATACAAAAATTGAGATCAACAGAATTTCTTTTCAATAACCACAGTCCTCAGACCTGATTGAATTCAGTAGTAGATTATGATCATTCACTGAATCATAACAATATTAAGTATAATTACCTTTTTCAATGCATTTTTCAAAATCAACTGGATTTTTAGATACACTTTTTTCAATGCGTAACTTCTTCACTAAAGAAAATATTTTTAAAAAATATTAATTGTAAGAATACTAGTTCCACCTTAATATTTCAAAATTGTTAATAAAATAATTCTTAGCTTTAACACAAGTGCACTTGTAAGACTAATTTCATTTTTACAATTCACCAGAGAAAATTATCAGATACAGAACTATTGAAATACAAAGAAAGCTAGGCTATGTCAAATGTGAGGAGCGTGTGAAATATGTGATCAATATATTCCCCTCCATGTGCAAAAATAATTTGTTATGGACACCTTTTGCACATGAAGGATTGAGATATACAAAGAGGAGGACAATGCTATAAAATATTTGGGATTATGATAATCTGGGTTTGGAAAGGGCTTTTCCTTTCTTTAATTGTGCTCATCCTATTTTAGGGCATACAGCAGTTTGGGGCATTTCCCCCAAAAAACGTTGGGAAACTAGGCCACAATTTTCAAAAACATGCAATCAAATGGACTCTAGGGATCACCCAAACAAAAGAAAATCACACACATTTCCTATCTCCCACATAGCTGTATAGACTGTATAGACTGACAGAACCATACACACCAAAACTAGAGCAGGGGTCTTCAAACTTGGTTCTTTTATGACTTGTGGACTTCAACTCCCAGAATTCCTCTGGCTGAGGAATTCTGGGAGTTGAAGTCCACAACTCATAAAAGGGTCAAGTTTGAAAACCCCTGAACTAGAGTTTCCTCCGAAATGACTGATTGGTATTAAAAGCGCTGAAAAAACCCATAATTTGTCGAATAGAGTAAAAGAGGTTGTCTGAATGCAGCAACAAGTACACAGGGTAGATCTCATTTCCAAATACCAGAGTTTAAACCCAGATAATTTCTTCATCTCCCTTTCCAAGAAGCTTGTTAAATTCACAGAAGAGAACAAGATAGTCCTCGACTTACAATAGTTTAGTGGCCATTCAAGGTTACAGCGGCACTGGAAAAAGTGTGACCATTTCTCACACTTTCTGACCTTTGCAGCATTCCCATGGTCATGTATTCAAAATTTAGATGCTTGCCAACTGACTCATATTTATGGTTGCATGGTCCTGAGGTCAAATGATCACTTTTGTGACCTTCTGATAAGCAAAGGCAAGGGGGAAGCCACATTCACTTAACAACCATGTTATTAACAACTGCACCGATTAACAACTGTGGCAAAAAAAATGGAGTAAAACTCCCTTAACAAATCTCTCATTTAGCAACAGAAATGAGGGGCTCAATTGTGATCATAAGTCAAGGACTACATGTAATCTGATTTAATGATATTAGCATGTCACTGTCAACAAAAACATGATGGGTTATTCTTGTTGCAAAGTCCCTATTACAGGATAGCTTCATATTAATCAGAAATTAAAGGTATCCATCCTAGCACACAAGTATGGAAGAGTTGTAATATCTCATTTTACATTCAAAGATGCAATTAGTTATAGATGTATCAAAAAATAAATTACTTAGGAAAAAAACACAAACATACCCACAAGGAATTATAATTATAAAGAGAATTGCCTCTGCAACTCATATTAATAATAACCAATACTTTCTTATGAACATAGTATATAAAAATATTATAAGCCACGGCCCAATTCTTCTAAAATGGAAATGTCTATAGAGTATTCCCAAGTATAAATGAAGTATACAACTATATTATGGAACATAATACATGAAAAGAAGATAAAATTGCAGAAAAGACATATAATTTGAAAACACAAACATATTATAACTTACCTAAGTAACACTGAATTGTCAGTTTGCTAATGGTCACACATTTATG